CTGTCTGTGTCTCTGTCTCTGTCTGTGTCTCTGTCTCTGTCCCTGTCCCTGTCTCTGTCTGTGTCTAGGTGGGTTTTCAAAAGATCCTGACGCTGACGTATGTGGACAAGTTCATAGATGACGTTCAGCTCCATTTTAGGGATCGTTATAAGAATGAGCTGGAGCAAAAGGGGGCTCTGAAGCTGCTCAACAACAACTATGAATTCGAGGACGACTTCAAGATCCTGCTTAGGTAAACGCAGCCAGTCTGACTTATGGAGGTGAACTGTTATGATGAAGAGCAGCACTGGTGTCATAATGTGTATTCCATTTAAAAAACAAAAAAACAAAAAAAGGTCAGACCAATGAAGCTGTGAGTGTCAAACGGGTATTTCAACAACATTTATAGATGTGTCATCAGCCAACCTCATTTGTCCTGCACATGCTGACGTATATATCAAATGTTTACCACAAGGGAGGCGGAGGACAGCAGCAGAGCTCGAAGCCCCGGCCAAATGCGGACCTTTAAAGAGTCTGAGAAATCCCAAAAAACTGTGAAGTCGATGATTGAGACAAAGGGTGGAGACAAAGTCAAGGAACGGGGTGGCAAGAAGAATAAAAATACCAAAAAGGAGGGTGAGTGCCGTTGGTGGTGGTAGTCCTAAAATATCTCTTAAATTGCTAGTGTAACGTCATTTCAACCCTGATTAAATGTTATCTTCCTATCTTTTCCAGCTCCTGCAGCTGAGCCTGTCAAAGCGGATCAAGGCAAGACCTCATCCTCTGGGCAGAAGATAGTTGAGAATGGTAACCAGGGTTTGACTGCTGACGAGATCATGCAGAAGAAGAGAGAGGAATTCTTTCGCAAGCGCTTGGTGGGACCTACTGAAAAACCCAGGTAGGAGAAAATACACCCATGAACGTATTGCCCAAATTTAAACAACATTAAAGGCATGATCTGATGTGTTGAGAATGAATGCAGGTTAGATTGGTTTGATTGTCCTCATGGGTTCTAATAGGTAGGTTTCTCACCTACTTACTTTATTTTGGAAAGCTAAGAGGTATTGTCTCCTAGCTTAAAGCATGTCTATTTGCTTAATTCCGATATTCTGTCTTCCGACTCACAGTAAGTCCCCGAAGCCTCAGAAGCCGAGGGAGAAACAAATGCGTGTTTGGGACATGGGTGGCAGCAGCGCCAAGGACCTGGACTACAGTGGAAGGAATGGAGACGGTTCCCCCAATGGTGGCGACCAGAACCCAGAAGCACAAATTGACCTGGTATGCACCCCCTGCACTCTTTTTCTTCTTTTCTAATAAAGGGACATCGGTGATAGTCACAGTATTAATGTTAAAAGAAAGGGTCTGTTGCCAAGTTCTCAACGTCCTGGATGTGTTTCAGGGGATACAGCTAAACTCCATGAAGGGTGACCTGCTGTCTGTGGACTATGAGTCCAGTGAGGAAGAGGAGGTGGAGGAGGAGGAGGAGGAGAGGGTGGTTGTCAATGAAACAAGCAAGACAAGGTAAGTTTGTGTTTGTTGGATGTTTGGAGGATTGTTTAAGGGGATATAATTATAGATTTCTGCTATTTCTTCACTGTGCGTTGTGAACAATTTCCCACCTTTGTTTGTTGAGTTCAGCTCCAAAAAGGCTGGCGGTTTTGGGGGCATGTTTGGGATGCTGAAGGGCCTGGTGGGGTCCAAGAGCCTGACCCGGGAGGACATGGAGTCAGTACTGGATAAGATGAGGGACCACCTCATCGGTATGTTACCGCATCTACTAATCTACTCTCCAACTTGATTTTCTGCAACATTTAAAAGTGCATTGTCCGCCATTCACTCTCTGATCCTACAGCAAAGAATGTAGCAGCCGAAATTGCCTCCCAGCTCTGTGACTCTGTAGCCAAAAAACTGGAAGGCAAAGTCATGGGCACATTCACCAGTAAGTAAAGTTTCACAGCTATTTAACACACCGCTTTCCTAAATTATTTTCCATCGGTGTGAGGATTAGTTATAATGTGCATCTTCTCTACCTTTACTTCTCCTTCTCTGAGAGCACACGTGTACATGCTGGGAACAGTAATGTCATTACAGTAGCATCCCCCGAGACGTTCTGTATTATCAGCGCAGTAAATTGATTAAAATAGGATCTTGCTCTCAGTTTCTTATCCACAGGATGCAAGCAATCCGACACAATTTTGTATAAACACTTAGAAACATCGCACACATATTAAAGGTAAAGTAAGTGTTTCTTTGAATAGGCTTGTTGCAACTTGTCATCTGTTTACAGTTTGTCACGCATATAACATTAATATTCGATTTTCATAATCACAAGCAGCACCTTAAAATGTACTTTCATTATCATGTTGATTATATTTAGGTATATCCTTTATTGTTCTGAAAATATACGTAGCATAATATTGTATTAGCAGGTGTATGGCAGTGTTGGGAACTAAATATTGTTTATTATTATATATTAATGATACATTGTGAAATCTGAGATAGAACGAGCCAATGGGATGTGCTCTCAAAGCATATTATAATACCTATAATAACTGTATGTCATTGTATATAAGATCATTTGTGTTCGTTAATAACAGTATAGCATGTAGAATAATCCTAAAACAACGTTGTGTGTGTGTGTGTTTGTAGCTGTGGCCTCAACAGTAAAGCTGGCCCTGCAAGACTCACTGGTGCAGATCCTGCAGCCCAAGAGAAGGGTGGATATTCTGAGAGACGTCATGGAGGCGCAGAGCCAGCGAAGGCCTTTTGTCATTACTTTTTGTGGCGTCAATGGAGTTGGAAAGTCCACCAACCTGGCCAAAGTGAGTTGTCTCTTTTTAAATACATGAAGACATGTATTGTATGTATCCCCATTTGGGGAAGTTTCCCCCCGTGTTTCTGTGGTTTGCAGGTCGTTTACCCACGCCAGCCAGTTTTACCCATGGGGCTTTACTGTGCCTTTTTTGTCAGAGTTTGTGGTCATGGGAATTCACACTGGGGTTCTCTGTTTAAAATCCCTACGGTGAAGGCATTTAGAGCATACTTCAAATTACATTCAAATTCTTGAGTAAGCACATATTTTAAACTTCTTTATTTAACAATTAAGCCTATATAGCTAAACCAGGGATCTTTTAGATCAGCACTTGACCTAAATCTAGCTAAAAAAAACAGTTTACATTTACCCAGCCCAGAAATGTCACACCCTCTGTGGTGTCCAATTAAATTCCAATTCCAATTAAATGTCAGAAATACTTAATATAACCAGTGTAAACAGAGTAGATAACCCAAAATATACAATTATAGTGTTTACTTGATACCTAGTTGTCATTGTCTGAGCTGATGTCAGGGTAGAGCCACACAGACAAAATTAATATGGAAGGGCAACCTTCTAAAACGTCTCTGTGCCTTGTTTCAGATCTCTTTCTGGCTGATAGAGAATGGTTTCACTGTGCTGATCGCGGCCTGTGACACGTTTCGTGCCGGGGCAGTGGAGCAGCTCCGCACACATCAGCGCCGCCTGAACTCGCTGCATCCTCCAGAGCAGCATGGAGGACGGCCGGTAGTCCAGCTCTATGAGAAGGGCTACGGGAAGGATGCTGCTGGAATTGCCATGGAGGCCATTGCCTATGGTATGTTGAGTAACTATTAACTAATAGAATTTGTAGAAAGCATGAAGGTAGCTTACTAGGACAATGTAAATCTGTGGTTCAGTGTTGATTCTTATGTGTACTGTACCTCATTTGTAAAGAACAGGTGTATGGGTGGTGATAGGGTTTCCATATACGACTAATATCACATGTATGGTAAAGTCATATGTCCCCCTTCTGTGTCTCGTCCCTTCAGCCCGCAACCAGGTCTTTGATGTGGTGCTGGTGGACACTGCTGGGCGTATGCAGGACAACGCCCCCCTAATGACAGCCCTGGCCAAACTTATTGCGGTCAACATGCCCGACTTAGTGCTGTTTGTTGGAGAAGCTCTGGTGGGCAATGAGGCCGTTGACCAGCTGGTAAGACCACTGACAAATGAACACTTTTGGCTCGGATACACCATGCACTAAGAAATGCAATTGACGGCTCACACTGAGGAACTCATTGTTAAAATGTATGTTCATATCCTAACCCCATTCTGTATATGTAATGATGTGATCAGCTGCTAGAACTTGGTAGCGACTGAGGCAGGGACTTATGGTTTTGGAGCTTAAAAGACCAGTGGCGGTGTCCTTCACTTCACCCTCCCCTTCCGAGTGTGAAGGAAAAACGTATGTTGTCCACGAAAAATGTGAACGGCCATATCCAGAGCCAGTGTTTGGTGTGTCAGTTCTGGGCTACTGTAGAAACATGGTCCAACATGGCGGCCTCCATAGAAGGTAACCCATGGCATGTGTAGATATAAAAGAGAAAAAAAAAAAAGCAGAACGATTCTTATTTCAGACTAATGAAAACTAACATGTTGCTCTATTTCAGCCAATAGAATAGATCCTCCTAAATGTTACACACTGGACCTTTTAAGCTTAATTGACCTAATGACATTCATTAACAGTAACGGCTAAGTCAGAAAATACTTGAATACTTGATTTATTATTCTTAAACTCTCCAGCAGGGGTCAGTATTGCTCCGGTGATCTGCTGTCTCGTTGAATAGTCATCATAATTGTACGGACGTGTGTTTTCTCCTCTGCACTGTAAATAATGAGATGGAAAGACGGTGCTATACATATTAACTCGGTTGTCATCGGTTTCCACGGGAACGACTCAGCTTTCCTTTCCTTGTGTCCTCAGGTGAAGTTCAACCAGGCTCTGGCAGACCACTCCATGTCTGACAGGCCTCGCCTCATTGATGGAATTGTTCTCACTAAGTTTGACACTATAGATGACAAGGTATTTGAATGTTTTGATGATGTTCTATCTACCTTTAATCACGTGACGTGGCCTCTAATTGATCTTTTAATTGTAATGAATGATTTGTCTGTGGCTCTTTTGATGACTTGCGGATCAATATTGATAGCATCGTCCTTCCTCTCTCACAGGTCGGTGCCGCCATCTCCATGACTTACATCACTGGCCAGCCTATTGTGTTTGTGGGCACAGGGCAGACCTACAACGACCTGCGCAGCCTCAACGCCCGCGCCGTGGTCAGTGCCCTGATGAAGGCTTAACTGGCTGCATGTTCTGCTGTCTGTTCATCGTCGCAATGAAGCCAACAATACCTTCGCCACGCTGCCGTGAGATGTTCCAGCCCTGCTACCTTTGCGTATCTCATCCTCCTGTCCTGCCCTCTCTACTTTGCATTAAATGAAGAACTGGTGTCATGCACAGGACTTAATTCTCCCAGTAAAGGACAAGTGTGCACTTTGAAAGACAGAACATTTTGCAACAAAGCCAGAGGGGCCTCCCTTTACATCAGTTCTAAATCTTTGGGCCTACATTAAAAAGTATCTCAGATCAGAGTTTTGAAACAATGCAGTCACATCCAGCTGACATTTTAGCAGACTAAATGGACCTAGGCTGTAAATGTCATCAGTTTACTGGTTTACACACTAAAGACAAAAACAAAAAAACAATCCCCCTACCTGGCATTTTGTCAGTCAGTTTTCCCCTCTTCATGTAAATGAGGCCAGGTCGTGAAGGCTTGCTGAATGTGACATTTGAGCAGCTGCCTGTGCCTGAGGAAAGCTTAGTGACCATAGTGCCTATCGTCTCCTGTTTTCTTAGTTAACACTTTCACTACCTGGGTGGTTACCTATCAAGAGTACCATGGCAGTTCGGGTCAGTTCAGAAACCCACCAGTGTTGAGAAGCAGTCTGAATCTGTTATTTCTATTTGTTCATTAAGTTGGCATGGATATCAGCACGTGTGGAGTTCAAAAGATGTTACTCCCCTGTCAAAAATGGAGAAAGAAATCGTGTAGTAGTGAAGATGACGCTTAATCAAGATTGGCTCTTTGGTAAATGGGGCAGTTCATCAACATCTCCCAAACAACTATGGTACGCTATTTCTGGTTGGATTGTTCAGTCATCTCCAAGAGCTCCTTGCCTACCTAACACACAGTTAACACGTTTTCATTACAAAATGGAGACTTTGATTCCTGAGTTTATAGTTGATGAAAAATGGAGAGATATTTTTTTAATTAATTTGTTTGGTTCTTACAGGTTGCCTGTAGATTTTCAGACTGCACCTTCTGTGTGGTCAGGTGAAGTTCTTCGGCCCTTTTTATTTATGTTTTCCCCTCCGATTTTCTCTTCATTTGTAAGAAGAAATATAAGTCTTAAATATCTCTAGCCCCCTTTAATTTGTGGTAGTGCAATATGAGAGAATCAAGAGTTATACATGAGATTTGAGCTAATTTATGATGTAAACATTTCTAAATAAAGCTGCTATATGCAATGACATCCTGGAACTCGTTCTGTCATATGTTGCAGTTCCAGTATGTACATTATGAGACGGACAAAAATGACAGCACAAATGGGATACCAAAAGCTTTATTTTGAAAATAGTACTTATAAATACTATGTCAGAAAACACATGCAAGTATTAAAAATACAAAAAAGGCTTACAAAGAACATTTACAGCACAGGAGTGGCAAAGTGATTGCTACTGGCTGGGAGCCTCTCTGCTATAAAGACATCTTCTGAACTTCTGAGGACAGAATCATAATGTGTTTGCAAACCAAGTAACATCTAATGTCAGAGAATTATCCCCATTCCCCACCCAGTAGTGTGCAAATCAAGTTTTCCTGGTTTCACGGTTCTGCGTGATGGATACAATCCTTAAGTGATGTGCGTTATAGCTTGCACCCATAGTTTCTCTTACAGGACAGGTGGGTCAAGCTGATTAAAGTCCAAATCCAAACAGTGAATCAATGCAGCACAGTCAGCTTCTGCCAGCGGATTCAGATCTATCATTTGTCATGTTGAAGTGAGAACATACCATTTAGTCTTCTGTGTAACACTTTTTTTCTACTGTAACTTGCCAAATGTTGAGCAGCATTGCAACACAGTACGCTGGGACTGTGAGGTTGGGTATTGGTGTTGACAGTTACTTAAAATGTCTCCCTTCCCTTTTAAACTAGAACAAATAAAGGAAAATAATGGACACCTGTAAAATACTGACAACAGCTTTTCCCGTTGCCCATAGTGTTCCTGGATTTCTAAATCCATAGACTCAAATCAGATTTGAGTACTACTCAAAAGTAGACTGATCTCTCGACGGAGCTGTGGAGGAAAATGACTGATACTGATCCCGACTGTGTGCCTGTCAAGAATGATAGTCTGGGGTAAAAAGAGAAGGAAGGGACTTAAATGAACAGTTGAGAAACAAAGAGCATCAACTGAAACGTTGCCACTGACTGCCATGCATGCAATACTGCAAAGTCAGTTGTATCTTGTGTAAAGGAATACCAGCAGGTCTTTTTGATACTGAAAATCAAGAACAGACTTGAGTTTTCTATCTACCAGCATGCAGTAAGAAAACAAAGAGTCCTGGACAGTGCTTTATTGTATTATTCTGGAAATGTCTCTTGCAAGTGGCCACTGCCTGAAGTCAAAGAGAAGCATTCAGTCCTAACCTTGAAGGAGGCTTTTCTGTGTGTTAAAGCCGTTCTGCTGTTCCTCCCCATTCTGTGAGGGAGGCCCTGTAGGTAACCATAAAAAAAAGACAATTAGAAATGCAGCCTACTCATATTCCGATGAACAATTCCAATTTTCTTTTGCAAGAGAGACGCTGACAGAAAACTTAGGAGTACTGATAACAATGTATGCCCTAAATCAAATGTGCACCATGGCAGGTGAACTCTGCTTCCAGGCTAGTGTTAATGCTTAAACTCTAGCTCAGCCCTTGTTATGATATATCCTCCAGGCTGCTTTTCTTAGTTCCCTTAGTGAAATACACTAAAATGTCAGATGCTATTTATTAAAAGTTTTCAATAAAAACCAAACAGAACTATGAGTATAAGATAAACAGTAATGTATACAAGAAAGAAATAGATCTTTTAGATTCAGTTATCAAACACAAGTTAACATTATAATAAATGCACTGCACACTGTTTAACTTGGTGCCTTACTACCAGTACTATTAGTTTGAGTATCAGTAAACAACATCAAACTATTCTGAACTGGAGATTGCAGCAGTAACCAAGCATTGAATAATTGACAGAGTGGCCCGTAACACACATTGACCTCACTACAAATGACGGCACGGTTTGTTGAAAGTCTTCCATTGAGCTCACATGCAGAATACATCCTCTACAAACAGGCACACAAATGAGCCGTGCCTGACTCTCGTCCACCTTACCCCAGTCGTTGGTAGACACGTCGCGGTTGCAGATCTCATTGGCCAGCCTCTCAAAGTACTCAGGCAGGTCGGCATACTCGTCTCCATAGGAGATGACCTTAATGCCCTTGTCCAGCATGTTGTCGCGCAGCTTCTTGAACTCACCCACGTCCTCCCGCCGCACAAGCATGAAGTGTTCCAGGTCTGACTTGTGTTTGACCGCCTCCAAGAAAAGAGCCTGGAAGGTTGTGTCGTCTACCGTGCGCCCACATCCGAGGAACACAAATGATTTGGTCTCGTACAGCTTCTGGATCTCACGCTGTGGAAACCAGCGGTGTATTATTACACATACAACACAAAAGCTACAATGTTAAATGCATCAAAGTGCAGGGACAGAGGCAATTTGGTACTGAAACCTGTACTGTACCATAATATAGTACCATAACATGCTGTGTTATTTACACTTCAGACATTTAGAGGAGAATGTTGAACAGAATAAAGTCCTTAATCAGAAACATAACCAACAATCACTCACCATAACCTCGGTGTTCCTCAGTACATTCTGGTAGCCAGCAGGGTGCAGTACAATACCACTGGGGTTGGTGTAAACACCGTGGATATGCAGAACACTTAACCTCCGTTTCTCCTGAGCCCACTCCAACACCTAGACACACACACACACACACACACACACACACAAACACACACTTAACAGTCCATTGCACTCAATCCTGTTCTGGCTGGGCAGGGAGTAAAATCACTGAACAGCAGTTAGAGGATATTAGCCCTGATGGAGACAAGGCATAAATACCAGGACTGAGAGGCAAAGCGACAGGTCTCTCAGAAAACTCTCACCAATTCTTGCAAATTTGTTTTCCATTTAACAAATAACCAAACTAGCTTTAAATCAACTGGGACTAAAACGACCTGATTGAGATTCCTTAGAGAAACAAAACTTTTTATTTTTAGTGGGAAAACACACACACTTCCCCTTCAGTGAAGTCTGAAGCCAAAAGCAAATATTGTTCAATCTATAAAAATTGACAGCAGCTGAGTAATGGCTGGAACCTTAACCTTCCCCCACCTGTCAAAAGACAAAAGGCTCTTTCAGGACAAAGCATAATCAATCCCCCCCCCCCCCCCNNCCCCCCCCCGAAACCAGCCAACGAGGAACTTCACTGAAAGACAATGTCTTAAGTGCCGTGAGTCATTTCACCCAAACGCTCAGAGGACAAGATACTATTCAGGCTGCTTTACCTGCACATTTAAACCCCCCACAATCTGAGCCTGCCCTAACACAAAGTACTTTTAGTACTTCAAAGCATGGTTCTGTGACCTTTGCACTCATTTGAAAAAGCTGACTGGATGTGTCGTGGCAGGAAAGATCAATCAATGCCATAACATAAACCATGCACTGTTTACCTTCTTCTCATCTGTCAGGTCCAAAGACTCCAGCTTGGTGCCCTGGTGAGCTGCGTAGATCTCCAACAGGTTGTCAAAGTTAGTAGTGAGGACCAGTGCCCCACTCTCCATTAACTGCAGCACTGAGCGTAGTAGATGTTTCCCTGCATGCTCCATCTTGCACTCCAAGTCGTCAAACACCTCGTATAGACAGTCCTTGAAGAATGTGGATCGCACATTGCCTGTTCTCTATATAAAAAAATATTTAATTAAAATACAATTAAAAGAGGAACTGCACGATATAGTTCTTTATGTACATTCAAACATCAAAATACCTTAACAGAAGTACACTGAATGTACAGGGATAAGATTTGGGGATGTCAGACAAAAATACCTTGACAAAAAATGTGTTTCACAGTACTTTTTCACATGCAAGTACAATGACAGGAAGACTTGATACCGTGCATTATTCACTTGAGACAGAATGCCATATGGACTGTCTGCCTACTCATACTTGATGATCAATAGTCAGCAAAGTACCTTTCAACAGTCCTGAATGCAGTATAACAGCTGGAAAGGGAAGTGCAGTACTGAATATCTAGTGTGCCAAGAAGAAGTCAAATTCATGTAAACAAATCTGCTTTATTCAACATAAGTATGGTCAGATTGTAGTAAAACAAACCAAATTTAAAGGGGAAATAATTAAGTGTTGGTACAATTTATGTTTTTCATTTTGTTAATGTCATAATATTGCATAGTTATATAGCCCAATTGGCCTTCTTATTTAGAGAAGCGTAAGTGATATGCACCTGTGCATACTTACTATGCGTAACCAGGAGCTTAGACCCAAATCTGATTTACTACACATACAGTAATGTACTCCAGGCCTTAGACATGGCAGAAAGTGTTTTTATTTATTTTGTTTTAACATGCTTTCAGCGAGACTTCCCCTTGGCATCCTTACTGCTCCAACTTACTCTCAAGTGACACTTCAGGGGTGTGTCAAGTGTGCACCAGTTTTCAAAATATCTGCTCAACAGCAACTTTGTTCTGTATCACTATCACCCTAGCAACTCCCATTCAACCTGAGTCTGCTAAGAGATTATGGGCTGTGAATACACATCTCACTTAATCTCACCCTTACCTGGCAGAGCCTGTTGTAAAAAAAAAAAAGAGAAGCAGGAAGAGGCGGGCTGCTAAGAATAGCAAAGAGTAGTACAGAGATGCAGTGACCAAGGTGATCCTAGCACAGGAAAATGCTCCGCTGACTTCGAGAGATTACAGCTCTAATGGGCTAAACAGCGGGAGTCCTTTTTACAGGAAGAAGCTCATTATCCACATCCAGTGTCTACAGCACCAATCCTGACCACTGTGTCCTTGGACTGTCTCAGGACTTATGTAATAACCAAATGAAGTGCAAGTAAACAACTCTGCTTTTTAAATACCGGGATTCATTCTAAACTAATGGATTATTTTTCATAAATGTATTTTATTTAAACTTTTATGTTAGCTCAGGACATTGTAGGGCCACTGTGGACATGCATACAGTTCAAAAATACAAATACGTAGCAGAATGAACAGATGCAGACTGTTCACAGTTCGGTTGCTGCTAGAGAATTCCTATAATACAGTGATACAAAGAATCACAGGCAGCTTTTGGTTGCTGGTGGTTTTCTTTGGCAACAAGGTATGTAGAGGGCTTCATCATTTACACGTTTTAGATTATCACCAAAATGACGATCAACAATGATCGAATGCTTCTTCCGCTGACCCCGTGGAAAACACTGTTTATACTCAGAGCATGAATTGAGCAAATAAACTAGTCAGCAAAGTTGTAATTAGCCTCGTTTTGCCACGGTCAAAGGTGTGAGAGGATTTACGACAAAAGCAGTCTCATTGAGTTTTAACTTCAGATTACCCTCATTACCTGACGCTGTGTGCCTGCAGACCACCATAATCATGCTGATACACAATTCCATGGAAAGTGGGTTAAACTCACAGCCCTGGAATTAACTGGAACAACTTCATATGCTTCAGGTTTCTCAGGGAAAGCTATGATTCACACTTGAAGAAATTCCTTCTCTTGGGTCAGAGGGCATCAACTCAGGTCTTCTAACGTGCTAAACTGCAGAAACACTGAAAATGTTTACAGACGGGTTTTTGTGAATGGAATTGCTACACACTTTTTTTCCTCGACAGTAACCCGCTGTATGCTTGCTGTTTAGGTGGTGCTTTAACCCTGTCTAAATGGAAAATCTGGGCTGGGTGGCTGCTGATTCACATTATTCTATGCTTGTTTTTTTTTTCCTCAGCATGCTAGGGCCTGCTGTTTCTGTAGCCAACGGCAGTGGGCTGGTGTCTGCACGACTGTGGATTGAAATAAACACGATGGGTAAAGCCATAAAAGCGCTGTTTGTTCCCTTTGTGACAACAGGCAGAGGGCTGAAACAAAGCGTGTTTTATCAATGTCAAAGGTGCGATGAGACATGACTAACACAGGAGGCAAATGGTATTAAGGCTCCCATCTGCCAGCCCTGCTCCAGACCAGATAGGTCCAAAAGGAAGAACATGGATTTATATTTATATAGACATATATTTATATGGAAATCTAAAACTGTTTTTATTCATTACATTTGTAATAATCCAACTGGTTTAGAACTGCAAAGGGGAATCGCCTTTTCTCACTCACCAACCGCACCAGTAAGTTTTCCGTTATTTTCATTTTGTTTCCCCAAACTTTTTTTTTTTTTTTAAACTGTGTTAGTCTTTCACACGTTTTGTTCCTTTCCCTTCTGCCACCACATACAGACTCTTGTCTACTGTTGATGTAACGTTAGGGAGAAATGAAGACTCCTTGGTGAGTCACAATGGATCTCCTTTGTAATACAAACATAAATAACAGGAAATAAGATAAGTCATTTGCAGAGGTATGAATTGAAATTGCTACCGTTTCTTGTTTTACAAAAGAAATCTCATAAAATGTCCCGCTTGTTGAACTTTCGCTTTATTTCTCTTTGGGAAACTCATCTGAGTTTGGATGCATAAGTTATTACAGACGCCAAATGACAAGAACTAAGTGATCACCAGGCTTAATAATCGAAACATTTAAAAATTGCCACTGCTTTACTAATCTTAGTATTATGAAGTTGCTTCCAATGCAGGCTGCTGTTTGCTGATTAAACTGAAAGAACCGAAACTGAACTAGCAGCCAGATTACCTAAACTACCCTAGAATCATAGTTTAGTGCATGTGTAGTTCAGAACATCACCAGTACTCCTTTTTTTGAGGAGAGTTAAAAAAAAACACTAATGTTTCCTACACACTTGCCTGCCTTAAGAGTGTTGGGGTTTTTTCAGGGATCCCTGAAGAAAGAAAGAGAGCACTGGGGCATTCTTCAACACCAATAAACTCGAAAAAATAGAAAACACATTCAGCTCATTGCACGTGTGGTTGATTCCACATCAACTGATTAATACGTTTGTCTGTATTTAACTAAATCAATTTCTAAGAGAGTGCCACGAACGAGCCATGTCTCATTAGCTATCGGTGTTTTAATGAGATAAGGCTAAGATGTCTTATCTCAATCCATGAAAGTTGAAACAAAATGTCCCTGGCTGAGGAAAGGACAGTGAGCTGGCAGTCTGTCTGCCATGTGTTTGTACATGTGCAACAGGGTGGTGTAGAAAGGAAAGGCAGGGGAAAAAGGATCAGGCTTACCGGGGAAAGTTTCTGAATGAGGTCATGGGCCACATGAACCAAATTCTTATCTTCCTGCATGTGCTTCTGGAAACGGCGACTCTCCTCCTCCTCTAGTAGGTCAAAGTCATTGGCTGCATCGAGCAAGGCCTGGATGAGGCCTTTCCAGGAGCGGAGCGCAGGGACCTGAGGGGCCACCGCCGAGCTTACCCCTGTGCCAATCACCAGGACAAGCTCAGGGGCGCGCTTGGTCTTCAGGCTGGGCAGCAGTTTCCTTTGGGGGAAGGCAGAGACTGAGTGACGATGGTTCCAAAGATGCTGCTTCCCGAATCCTTCCAACAGCATGAAGGTTCAACAAACCATTTCAAGCACACTAAACACGCAGTGTGAAACTTAAACCCACCTTTATTTAGGGCTGGCAAAAAACAACATAAACAAAGATTTGAATCAGCCCTGTTAGACTGATGGACTAGAGTGTGCAGCTGGTCTTTAGGCAGCACCTGAACATACCTGGGCTTTTTTGCGTTTGAGTCTGCATCCTGAGAGTCAGCTGCAGGTCGCTTCTCAGTTTTCACTGCAACAACGGAGGCCATTCAGCTCCTGCGAGAGAAACACGATCAACCACATGTTCACTTTGTTAACGACTTAACCTCACAGTAAGCCCCACAATGCAACAATCCTGGATACCGAAGGCTGTCACGTCTATATGTCACTAGTATGTCATTTGTGAAGCTTCCCTCCTAATGACTTAGGGAAATGATGAGTGATATCCATCCAGGTCTGAGTGACATGGCCAAGGACACTGCATGAAAGGTGCGTCCACCTGTCATGCTTATGACTGTCTTTAAGCAGGAAGTCATTTATACATTTCCGCCTGTTAGTCATCAGAAACACAGCTTACAGTAACTTGTTCAGGCTGTTAAGGTTTGTGTTGTTCAGGGAAACTCTAACAGACAGCTCTTTTTTGTTAAGACAGCTGGTGTTTTCCTTAACTCCAACATTAAGTCAATGCCCCACCGGTCCAACATGACATGTGCACAAAGTTACTAACGTTATATAACCCAGTCCACGTTTTAATACGAACATTAATTCCTCACCAGTCACAGTTTATATTAATATATGCAAAGCATTACTTACCTTGATAGAGGTAAGTTAAAGTCCAGTGTTTATTTCTGTTCAGGTAGTAATCCTGTTGATTCCAACTCAGCCGACGTCGTTTCTGTATTAACGTGAGCCACGTTAAACAGCTTGGAAAACCGCTTTGAGCTTTTTGATGGTGTCAGTGCTAACAATGACAACAACGTACGCGTCGGTAGCGTTACTGTGTCACCAAACAAAACGTGTCAACAAAAGCGGATAAACAAATTCCTACTAACGTTAACTATCAACTAGCGTTAAGCTAACGTTAGTTTGATTGTTGCTTTGAGCTAAGTTAGCTATGTGGAGGTTGTTAAAAGTACGATACTACCTGCATTTTACTTGTCATTCTGGGGGTAGAGTAATTAAAGTGGTATGTATCTGTTGTTAACCACTCTCTTTAGCTAAAAAATGTCACTTAATTCCCCCTGCGAGTCCCGTTATACAGCAGAAATGCTCTCGGCTGTCCCGGCTGCTCTTGCACACATACTCAGAGTGTGTTTAAGTTTAGGAGCTGTTGAAGTCGCCGCCTGTGGTGATGGGTGCCCGGTCTTATGGTGCCTTCAGGTACTGTACGAATAACCGGCCTTTCTCTTTGTCTCTGCTTGTTTTTGGTCCGGCGTGGAAAATGTGTCTTGCAGCATGGCAAAAAAACAGACACATCGAGGCGGACTCATCCAGCAGTAAAACGGTATAAGAAAATATGACACAGTGAAACAGGAGCACTACATGTAAGATTTTCATGTCGAGATTGAGCTGTTTTCATGACGGTAACGTTAAACCTCCTGACATTCTGATGATTTATAAAAAAAAAAATATGTTTTGTTATTTATGTGCATATATTCATGTGATTATTATAATCCTTAGTTCTCAATTGCATCACAAAATATATCAACTCCACTTTATTTTTACTAGAAAACAACAAAGCACTTATATGAAACTGATTTACCAAAGCATTTGAAAGCACCAAGCTGTGTGACGTCAAACGCGGAAAAGAGGCTACACAGCAGAGAGCAATCTACAGTACAGTATACTGTAAGTGTACATCTGTTGCTTATTGCAGCTGCAGTGCCTGCATCTGCTACATTATTGCGCCGATTGCAGCCTTTTGGAGATAGTGGATTAGTGGCACTTTTCATTACTCAGCATCTTTCAGAAATCAGTGGAGTCGAATAGTTTTTCATTCAGAAATCAACCAGTCTGTGTTGGTGTTCTAATTAGACAATATGATTAATATAACAAAAAGGAAATAGACTCTTTTAAACAAGGCCTAGTACACGGTCATTGTTACTTCTTTATTTAAAAGCCAGAGCTTCCATAATTGAGAATAATACCATATTTTGATCTTGAGTCTGTTAAATCACTGTTGTAGTTAAAATGGCATTTATGGATAGACCCAACAGCAGACGTTTTCCCAGATGGCCTGTTATCCCTAATGCATATGGTTTTCCCTCATAGATTATGCTAAACAGGACCACGTCAGCATAGACTGCTTGAGTAAAACTACTACTAGGCTGCCATCTCCTGTTTCACATGAAAACTGCACCTTTGTAGTATTAAGACAAAAGTCACATCCCCTCATGACTAAAGGGGGGCAATTTTAAAGGATTTAAAATGCAAATTGTTTGTGCTTTGTCTCATGTAACCCATGCTGTATGTTTTGTTGAACGTATCAGAAACTATTACATGCAAATATGCTAATGCTCTTGTGTCTAGTATAAATACTGTGAATGTAGAACCAGGGGTATACAAAGGAATTAAAGCTATGATTAGATTGTATGTTTGCTACAATATGATCATTCAAAGACCCACTCATTAAGTCACTTTTGTTTTGCAATTTATTCCACAATCTATCCAAATCAAACATCCAAACAAACATTTTCTGATCAAAAGTTTGACACACCTCACAATATAACATAATAAAAAATAAAAAATAAAAGGTAATTATATAAAAAACTAAAAAAAAAATCAAAAAAACCATGAAACTAAATGAAACCTAAATTACATAATAAAAAAAAAAAATAAAATACCCAATAAATAAATAATTGGCAGAGACTGATAGACAAAATAACCAACCAAACTTGAATAACCACCCGGGAGAGTACATAAGTTATAATTATAGTGCAATACATATTGTGTATAGGCATATTTTAAATGATAGCCCACAACAATGCATACGAGTTAGTATTCTATACCATTTAAATACATAACTGAATCAGCAGACAGATTTTCAATCTATACATATCAATGTATTTGAAGACACAATCAAATATTAAAAGGCATCCCATTTGCCATTCAGAACACATTTTTATCCCAAATCATAAACCAATAAAGAATATTACAGCTGTAAGATTTCATGTTTCCTCATAAAAAGGCTACGTGTTTATTTGATAACAGGAGGAAAGGCATACTGGTTGCATTTGATAACTTAAACCAATGCTCTCACAAATGATGATTTTCAGTCACTGGTTTATTTGCAAGAAATAAAAGTTTTAATAGGCTGTTTGGAGGTAAAAAAAACTACCCCAAGCACCTGAAGAGGTAAAATCCCTTAACAACATTTTCTTACTTTTCACTCTTTCCCTTCTTAAAATGCAGCAATTAGCTAAAATAGCACAACATGAACCTGAAAGTAGCATGACGCACAACAAAAGCTTTAGTTTCTAGGCTGGCAGATCTGGAGCTGTTGTATTTCATTGAAGTAGAACTAACGCAAACAAAAATGATGATAAATCAAGTGGCTATGAATTATAATAATAATTCCAGGTTTATGAACAGTCACCCAATGATATTCGGAGTCATCACTCTGGTGTTTGCAGAAGTATTACTAGTATGATTTTTGACTCCTGAAGAGGGAAGAAAGTGATACTGCAAGTGACAGTAAACTTTTACAAGAGATCAGCATACTGTTCAGTCATTTCCTCTCTCCAAAGTGAAATATGGCTTTAAGGGCACCAAGGATTAGCATAGGTCTGGTCGGGGCTGGGCTCTACACTCTATACAGAAATGGAGCCCTCTCTGAAGTTGGTCTTCCCTATCAGAACATTGAGAAGTACAGCCTTGCCCTCCTGGGTCTCCCTCTGAGCCTGTCTGATGATGTCGCTTAGCCTGTCGTCATCCTCACGGCCTACAAGGTAGCCCTTACCACCATAACCATCTGCCACTATATGATAATCTGCAGGAAAACACAATTTGCCAGTTAGTAACTACCTAGTCATCATATATAAATATACACACATTTTATTCACAGTTTGGGATGTAACCTGTAACATCCCATGTAGAAAATGTACCTGAAAATGCAAGGCCACATGCCACGTTGCTGCCGAGTATGGGAACCTGCTCTCTGGATATCTGACTCCAACATGCATCATTTCCCACCACAGCTATAACTGGTGTCTAGGTGGGAAAAAAGGAGTAAACTGTGAATTATCAGAAGAAAACAAAGACAAAGATGTACAAAGAAGAAGAAGCATAAATGCATTCATTGAACTGCTAAAGTCTATAATAGAGTTTCAGTTATAAAAGTCAATTCAGCATTGAAGTGGCCATACCTCTGTGAATTTTAATAATGTAATGTTTCCTACAGACAATGGCTGTAGTAATGATCAATTACAGAATACATAAATGATAGAATTTATATCAGGTTTACAGCATGGTTGCTGTGACAACACTGACTGACTGATTTTTTAAAAAGCCCTACACATCCATAGACTATTTTGGCTGATTAAACCTCGAGTGCCAGGTGTATGCATTTCCATATTATGCATTGTGATGAATGATTTTACCTTGTGTCTAGTGAATGTGTCAAATTCTGCAACACTGTATCCTAAGGAGCCATCACCGTACACTATCCACACCTGAAAAGCACACAAAGTAGCATTTCATTCATAAAAGGTGAACACCAATCAATAGATTAGATAGATCACTTTCAGAAATGCCTGAATCATATTATACCTCAGATTCAGGCCGACACAGTTTTGCCCCTAAAGCAAATCCTCCTCCAACTCCCAGCGTTCCAAAGGCTCCTGTAGGGACAAAGGAAGTAAAGCTATGTCACTATGACAACAAAGAAAGCATGATAATCAATGAATACATTACTGTAATGCATACTTATGTAATACTTATGTATGTAATAGACCAAACGTGTGATCTTTGTCTACATACAGTAAACAACCAAAGTTAACAGTTAAACTGACTTGAAATTATTAATCATTTCATTTAGCTGAAATTACAAGCACTCTACTCTCGCATTTAAATAATCAAACCTCCATTGTTTTGCAAATTGCTGTTTGGATCGAGAAGATCTAACCTGGATCCAGCCAACGCATAGGTCCTCTCGGTCTCATTATGTAAGCTGCACTTCCAACAAAATCACCCCCATCAGCAACAATGATGCTGTCCTCTGCCATTAGCTCATCCACACGGTGGAGGACTTTCAAAGGATTTAAGTGGTGTTCGGTCTTCTCGTCAGCTTTAGCCCTGGAATAAATAATATTTTCATAAACTTTACATTAATCAGTGAAAATATTTGTATGCTTTTTCATTATTAAAGATTTACCTAATCAGGACCTTTTTTTAAATATCAAGAAGAACACACACACACACACAGTAGGGACCAGGGAGCATCACCTCTGCTTACCTGTTTGCATTTTCTTTGGTCGTATCTCCAGCTTTGAGGCTCTGAGGCCATTCCTCTGGACAGCGATGGCCCTTCAGGCCTTTAGAAAGCCGCATTAAGAATGAACCAGCATCCCCTAAAATAGACAGATATTTACGTTTTAGACTCTTATCTATGCATTTGTCCTATGGCCCATATCTACAATATTAATTAGAAATAAAAAGTGTGTATTTAAAGTCATAATGCTGAAACAATACATATTATACAGTTTAAAAATTGGAGCCAGTGACAAAAAGTGTTTTTTTATTGGTGTATTCTTCATCACTAATTGGATCATCACATACCCTGAATTGCTATAGTTGGTTTCCAGAACATATCTGAGTTTTTCAGCAGCTGTGTCTTATCTCTGTTGACAGCGATGATCTTACTGCGTCTGTTAAGAACTCTGCCGTAGCTCAGCCGGAAGTCACACACAGTGCCTGCAAAAACAACACACAATGTCAACATTTCTTTAGGACATCTGGGTAGCCTGTGGCTATAATGGCTACTTTGAAAATACACTTCACTAAACAAACATAAAAACAACATCCAGTATTGGGTTTAAAGTCATTTAACAAGCACTTAATGAAACCTTAAAAAAAGTATTGAAATTATTACTGAATTATGACAGAGATCCAGTTATTAAATATCCAATCAGTAGCATGTATCAACTCTATAACTGTGTTAATTAATTACCCCATGCCATCTCTTTAACTAGTAATCTGAAGTTAAAAGTGAAGTTATTGCAATGTTAATATATAGGATTAAGACTGTATGCCCGACCTGCTAAGAGGACCAAGTCAGCCTCCTTCAGAGCGTCTCGCCTGTTCTGTCTGATGTGGATGGGACTGTCTTTACCCAGCATGCCACGGGACATGCCCCCAAGGAAGCAGGGGATGCCCAGGTTCTCCAGTGCCTTCCTATAAAGCATTTTTGAAAAGTTAAGTTAAATGACAAAACAATACTTTGGTGCTGTTCGAATGCTAAACAGAAACCTAATGAAAGCTACTGAATCTGAATATTTTAGCATATTTTTGAGAAACCAAATAGTGAACAGTAGCAGAACAACTGTAAGACACAGGACAGGAAAGTGCAGAAGGGAGGGGTATAACATGTTGTCCTTTACCTGATATCATTGACCGGCGTTGGGGGTAGTGTTGCTTGGCTACCCAGCAGAATAACAGGTTTTTTGGCTCGACTCACTAGCTCTATGCACTTCTGTACCTGATTTGTATTGAAAGAAAAAAAAAAAAAAACAGCAAGACATTCAAACTGCTGGATTAGTCATCTTAACACTGCATGCCTCAAGAGGGACTGAGCGCAATGTATCGGACCAAAAACTGTTACATCAATCATACGAGAGCGCACACGTAACATCAAACCAAGTGTTACCTGATCGTCTGTGGCTTGTGGGATGTCAACAGGAAGTGGAGACACATCTCTGGTCTCCCAGGCTCCAGCAAAAAGGTTCATGAGGTGGTTATTGAGGTACCTTACAAGAGATCACATCACATGGAATTATTTTATGTGTAATATGGCATTCCATGCCTTTATTTGACAGTTGAGAGTGACGTGAAGTGTGGGGAGACAAAAATAAGGGCAAAGGTTGCAGGTTGTATAAAATATCCAGGACTTGAACCGCAGATGGTAAGTTTACAAGGTGTGTGTGTCGCTTTTAGTTGTGCATACACAATTTCACACTTCTCTTTATTTAATCAGTCTTTTCTTCTCTTACAGCACGACTTATTCTATTGTCGCTGTGTACTTTTTCATACACTAAATAGTAATGTGCAGCGTTTAAAGAAAACACGGATAACATACCATGAGACAACTTTTCCCATCAGGCCTTTGGGAGGGTTCTTAACTCCAAACTCTTTAGACACCAGATGGTAGGGATAGAGCGTGTCGATGGGGAACTCTATGAAAACCGGACCGGGAGTTCCCGACTGGGCGACGGCCAAGGCTTTCCTGACAGTAGGCACGATCTCCCTGATAGTCCTGATGGAGGCACAGAACTTACACAGTGGCTTGAAGAGCGACATCTGATCAATATCTTGCAGCGCTCCTCTACCCTGTGCCACAAACACAGTTGATGGAGAGGTTAGACACACAAGCAGAGAAGATACAACACGTTTGAAAGGGCTATCATATATACGCCGCATCAGACAACAGCAAAACCCGCTGCTCTATTAGGCTACTTTGTTCTGTTATTCTATTCTGCTGACATCATATTCGCATGTATTTGAATCAACTCCACCTGAAGTAGTGTCCCAGCGGCTCCTCCCATGAGCAGCAATGGACATTCAGCCATCTGAGCATTCTTCACTGCAGTCACTGTGTTAGTGAGGCCTGGGCCGGCAGTCACTGCTGCTACACCAACAGTGCCTGGTGGGGAGAGACAGTGAAGGTAGCAACCAGCCCTTAAAAACACCCACAACTGATTCGGCGAACCAACTATGCGAGACACTGTCTCGAAACACTGGCACTATTAATGCTTTTAGTCACACCTGTGTTTGAGAAGTCAAATCAACCGCAGTCTGAACCAAGACACACCTTTACCAGTGCAACAGCACACCCATTTCCTTTATTCTCCTTAACTGTCGGTACACAAGATCTGATCTATCCTTGCAAATCTGCACCTGAGAGTCTTGCCACAGCATCAGCAGCGAAGACAGCAGTGGCCTCGTGTCTGGTGTCCACAATGCGGATGCCCACCTTCTCGCAAGCCACCAGGATGGGCGAGATGTGTCCACCGACAAGGGTGAAAACGTACTTGACCCCGTGGGCACGGAGCACCTCTGCCACGCTCTCGCCGCCGTGTCGTGGGCTCTTTGTCTCAGTCTGAAGTGAGAAGGAGGACAGAATAAAAGTTAAGTCAGAGAGGCGACTATTCCGGTGATTCCTGTGTAAACTAGAATAAAGCTCCGGCATAGATAAACATCTGTCAGTGTGAGCTGATGGCCACTCTAAAGGTCACCTGTCACGCTATCTCTTCACCCCAGTGGCCTTGCATATTTCACAACAACCACATATTGTTCTGGCTTGCAGTGGTGGTGTGACTCTGAGCTTTGTGCACTCCCACTAACAGCCTCGCTGTTGTGATAGCCTTTGTACCAGAAAACCACAAGGCCGGTCAAAGCTTTTACCGTGAATGGAGCCCATCTTACCTTTCACCTGTAACAGCCTACTGAATACAGGTGACTCTCTTAAGGTGAGCACAGATGATGCAGGTGTGTTTGCCACGACTGATCTGTGCAATGCTGCTTTGTTGTCATATGCATGTGGAGAAAGGAAGAGAAAAGC